TCTTGATTGGAAATGATCAGAACTGATTGATGCTGCTGATTATCTAGTCTCACATTTTATCTGAATAAACAGATGAAATACTAAAATACTAAACTAAGAACGGAAAATATTCCAAAAAGTGGTGTAAAAGTTAGAAATCTCCATGAGATTTTTCTGATATGTTGACTAAGACAGAAAATCGAGCCTGTAATTAAAACTGACGAACAAGATTTTCTGCTTGTGCAGCTTAAACATTAGTGAAAAACAATTGACATGCGACTTCGTACAGCCAAGGCTGTTTTGGTTGTCTTCTACAAACCAAGTCTGCTGTATTATGTGTGCACCACGATAAACAACAGGCTGCCGGAACAGGAACAGCGTCAAAATGTAGTTTCATAATGTCTGCTCATTTATCAAGATCAATTGAAGTAACTGGTAAACTAATATATAAGTTTTATTGTGTTTATATGTTGATTTATTTATGAACATAGGATAAAACGGAAATGTTTCTCTGCAGTTAATAAAATATTATGACTAGATAATATCTGAATCGGTTTTATTCAGATTTGTTCTGATCTTTTTGGCGTACATTCGAAACTTTCAGCTACTGCTGTGCAAAAATCTGTGAAACAGACTACCGGAGAAGTAACTTATGAACTATTTTTATTTTTTATTTCTAGATGAGTAGAGTAATAGTAGGTTGTTAAAATGACGATTGTTAGACAAAAAAATTTTCTTGCCAACTGTAACGGAAAAATTGTACTCTGTTTCATCGCCCACAAAATGATTCACATTAGCGAATTTTCTATTCATTTCAGATTACAATGTTAAAAAGCGTTAATGTTGTTCGTTTTCTTGCTTTTGGGGCATCATTAACGGAAGGTTTTTATAATTATGGCATGTTATATCATCCATATACACTTAAATTAGAGTCACTCTTGAAAAGTCATTATGCTTCATTGGATCCAAATATGCAAATCGAAGTCGTTAATCAAGGTCTAAGTGGTGAGGCTGTTTTAGAGACAATGCAAAACCGCTTAGAACAAGTACTTGCTAATCAAACGACAAAATTCGATTGGGTGTTAATATTTGCTGGAACAAACGATACAATGAGAGATCAAGCAGAAGCTAAAGATGTTCTTGGTGGTTTACAAGCAATGTATAATAATTGTTTGAAGACAGGCGCCAAAGTTTTAGCAATGACGTTACCCGAAACAGAAATATCATTAAATTCACCTCTAGACAAAAGTAGACAAGAATTAAATAAACTTTTACGCCAAACGTATCTATTGTCATCAAATATGAACAAAGTTATTCTACTCGATGTCGAAAAACAATTACCCTATCACAGTATGACTAAACAAGAACAAGAGCGAATATGGGATGATGGACTTCATTTGAAACCAGAAGGGTATGATCGACTAGGAGAAATGATTTTTAATGCATTAAAAGCGTATTTATAACCTTTTTTGTCTATTGTGATTATTTAGCCTACAATCAGGAATTTGATGATAGATACGTGAAATTACTACTATATTGTTAGTCTTTGATATGTGATATACATTTTCTCCTTATGTGTTTGTCTATTAAATTATGTCTCATTTCTATCAGTGTAAAAATTCGTATTTCTATTAATTGAGAAAAAATTATACATCAACAGAATCCTTTGTGCTCATTTAAAATCTAATGTTCTGAAGAAATAGAGCAAAGTGGAGTGATTTGAAGCTGAAATGTATAGTTGATGAATAGAAACATATTTTTTTAAAATGATAATAGTAGACAACATGTGGAGTAAAAGAAATGTTTTACAACGATTTTTTTCCAATGTATACATGATCAGAAGTTTTCGTTGGAATGTTGAAACAGATGCTGAGAAAGAATTCTGCGTAGATTTTAGTTCTATATTTTCTTACAATAAGTATTTGCCGTGATTAGTGGAATGATTATTTTTGATTAAATTTTTTGGTATGTTTTGGTAAAATTTTACCAGAACTTCTGATTGATATTTCGTGTCTGAAGTTTTTTTCAATGAGAGAGAAAGGAGGGGATCCGTATAAGCTAATGATTCAGTCCATTTTTATTTTTGACTCCAGATGATTCTGCCAGAAGCGAAAAAGTACAAATACTTGATTTCAAGTGCTTGTGGAGAGCTCCCATTTTTCTAGGTCTGATGTAAATTCGGAGACTGATGCTAACAAGCACCATTAAGATCCTTATAATATACTTCTCTCTGATATTTTGAGAGTGTACAAAGAAATCAACACATAAATAGATAAAAAGCTCTTCTAGTTCTCTACGAACTGGTCTATTTACAATATTATTTTTGGCTTGCAAAGCTTCTTTAGGTTCACACATAAGATATTTAATTAAAGAAAAGTGCGATCTATGTATCATTCAAGCTAACTTTTTCTTAAAAAGATGGAAACTTACATTTTTCTAAAATAGCTTGTTTTGATGCTTTTTCAATTCACTACAACCTGGTTGCTTCATAATATCTTCGTTGATTTGCAAAAAAGCGGAGGATATTTTTCTATTTCTTACAAGGAGATTTTGAGTGGTATTTACTCCATTTCGTCATTGGAACAATATTTAATGTCAAAACAAATGCAATATTCGTAATCTACGTAAAAAATGGATTCAAACGAGGTATCGTTTACATGGTTTCGGGAACTTCTGATTTTGACCTAAAAATCAGACTTTGATGTGTTAATTTAATTAATTCTGCATTATAGAGTACATTTTTTATTACAAATAGTAAAAAAGTAGGACTCATTCCTATCTCCTATCTCATCATTGCCTATCAAAACAAGTATAATGCTAATACACTTGTAGCAAGTTCAGTCAAGCCGACTTACTCTAGAACTGTCCCATGTGATACTTGGACATCGTGAGATTAGCTAATGAAATTTCCTGTATTCTCGTTGAAATGCCCATATCCTTTACATTTTGTTTTTATGATTTTCTAAAATATTTAAAAAACAAAATGGAACCATTGCGATCAAATGACAGTGAAATTGAAGTTTTTGTTCAACTATGTTAACGGCATTAGCAAACAGCATACAGAAGGAGAAAGTCAACAGATTCATGATCCGTTCATTCTTAGAAGATTCTTCCCATAAAATAATTTTATCACTTGAATGATAGTTCCAATGTTTGGTACATGAGAACCACTGCTTTTACGACAAATTTTCAAGCTTCTAATTCGCATATGTTTTGATAAGTTCTTGATTGGAAATGATCAGAACTGATTGATGCTGCTGATTATCTAGTCTCACATTTTATCTGAATAAACAGATGAAATACTAAAATACTAAACTAAGAATGGAAAATAAATGAAAAAGTGGTGCAGTGGTTCTCATACACTATAAGTCTCAGCACAATAAAAAGTTGAATGTGTGTTTTTGCGCAATTCCAGTAGGATTCGGCAACGAACTTATTGAACTCTCGGGACTTTTGACAAAACGGATCACAAGATTCCATTATAACATCTGGAAAGAGAGTGTTTATTTGATTCGTTCGAGAAAAGAGTATCTACAAAATTTTCTATTGCTCTTTTCATGTAAGAAAATTAACACTTGCTGTAATAGGCAACTGTATGATTAAAAAGAAGCGGCAAAATTATTTTTTTGAACGCTATCAGATTTCATCAGTTAGTAAAAATAATATCGTGTTTAGTCTACGTATGTCTTGATTTAGTGATAATTAGTAAATTGAGTCTCATTGGCGACAAGTAGGGATCTTGCTGTTATTTTACGAAACACCCAATCACTTATCGGTGTTTATTGAGGTAAATAATACATCTTATTATAGCTGAATTACATATTTTGCATTTCTAGATGAGTCATTCTGTTTTAAATTACACTTCAATATCAGATAAGATCGATGATGGTAAGAGATAGTCTACTATTATTTATTTGTACTCATTTGAAAAGATAAAGCAACTTGTATAGAGGTAACAACAGCTCTACACGTATTTGTAGACGTACGCAGAAGTTGTTGGAATATCGAATTTTTTTATCAATAAGAAAATATTCATATGATGATAATGTAGCGATGTTTTTCTCTCAATGAAATTTTTAATTATTGTACAAAAATTCTTTAAATTCTTTTTGTTTTGTTTACTAACTTTAAAAAATTCAAACTAAATATAACTTTGTTTTTTTTTTTCTTGATTAAGGAGCTTTTCTATTTTTGACAAGAATGAACATTTTAGTCATAAACTACACAAACGATTTCCGATGTCACCGTCATCATTTGAGAGAAAAGAGAGAAAAAAAAGATTATTTTTACGTTAGAAATACGGAAGTATATTTCTGGCTATACTGAATAGACGCTGAGAACGGTTGTGAAGTAAAAACGTTTCCTGATCAATAATAATCATGTATAATTCAAGACTTTTGTTATTGTTGTTATTAGTGAAAAGGAAGAAATAATATACGAGTAGGCGACAAAATTTACAGTCTTATTTAACAGTGCAAGTGTTTCAATTACATCACCAGCTGATTATTTTAAATGGAAAAAAGCATTAATGTGTAATGTGTTACTTCATTTGACACATTCAATTGTTTTGATGCATAGAAAATACAGATACTGAGAATTTTTGTGATATTTTTAGTTTGTGAACAGACAATTGATAAATGGACTCATTTGTTTTCTGTAAGAAAAATAATTCAGTTTCGCTAGATGTGCTAGGGGTTGTCGTGGGACAAGATGGGACGAAAACTTCCTTCTACAGAAAAATATTTTCATCTGTTGCCGCCCCATCCTATAAACTTTCGGAATATTTTCATCCCGTCTTATGAGTATTCAGACATTTTCGTCCCATGAGATCCCACAAGATCCCATTAAAATGTTTTTTCTCAGCAACTACACATATATATAAAAAAAGAACGAGAAAATTTACTAGATAAAAATAGAATATAGATCACTATGTACAGATAAGAGAAGAAAATATCACACACTAAGAGAATGAGACGAGATTATGAATCAGGTTATGTGACCAACCGCGTGAAATATAACAAGCCGGGTGATCGGCACATGACAACTCGAGCTTACGAGGGAACCACCCCAAGTGGTGCATCCTGATTTTGTTCAAACCTGCCTATTTATATGTAATCAGAGACACTGATTACGAATATGATAATCGTTTAGGCCCACAGATCTTTCCTAGCCTCTCTTTGGAGAACCGGTTTCCAGAAATTCCCTGAAATCGTAGCAATGTTCTTCCATCCAACATATTGGAGTTATAGTCCGTAAATTATGCATCAGAAATGAAATCCCTCCCAGCTCTCCACGACCTTTCTTTACAAAAACAGAATTTATAGAATTTGCAAGAAACACACTAAATATTCATTTCAGCTCAAAGCTGTAGAAAGAAAGGAAAAGGAAAAAATCAATTTAGTGCGTTTCTTGTAAATTCTATAATTTTGCAAAGAAATATCGTGGTTTCAGGGGATACTTTAAAAGTTTCATCTCGTCCGTAGTATCCCATGGGATCTCAAGGGATCGAATGAGATTCTTGTTTCACGACGACCCCTGAGATGTACCTATGAAACTTCTTTATGAAATACGTTCTCTTTTGAAAGTTTTAAAACGTATTCACTGTTCTTTATATAAGGTTTAATTGATTAAAAATACACCAGATGCTAGCAGTCAAAACAAAACGTCTATCGCTGTTTATTAATAAAACGTTGGTGACTTTCTGACAGACTTGAAAATTCTAAAGATAAGAGATTAATTTTTCACATACCAATATGTTTTTATTACTAATACTCTGCTCTGTATAAAGCGGTTTATATTCCGTTCCCCAAAAGAAGAAAGCTTCATCAGCTGTACTTAAATCAAAAATCCTTTCATTCTGACTACACAACATAATATATTTTTTCTATGATTGGTTCATATTTTAATTATGAAGTATCACCCAGTCTATCATTTTAACAGAGCGCAGAAGAAAATAAAATAAAAATGTATATTATAGGAAAAATAGTGTAAAAAAAGAAAGTCTATAGGAAAAAGATCGAGAAGAGAAAAAACAAGACATGAGATTATAAGAATCGATTTGATGACTGAACAAGGTTAAAGTAGTCGAGTTATAAAGAAACATCATTGGTTATTTTTGTTTATCTATGCATCATCAATCTGCATCTAACGGTATGTTGCTTTTTGTTTAATTCGCGGAAAAGTTTAATTAATACAGTAAAACGCACGCATTTGTTTACGACACGAAATGACTTTAATTTTTATTTCGTGTAAAAGTCACCAAAGTTTAAAGTAATCTAGAGTTACTTTTATTCGAATAATACTGAAAAAGCACTTCATGTGCAAAACAACGGGAACGCTGTCATTTTATGTCCGTAATTTATGAGATTTTTTTAAAAAATTCAATAATTGATTTTTTATTACATTCATTCAAAAAGAGCAATTCAGGAAATTTTTTCAACTCAATAGAAAATATGATCAAAAT